AACCGGTGATGAAGATGATTACGATTCAGTAAACCCACTTATAGCGAAACATTCTTAGGCAACACTTGAGGAAACGGGAGCATAGAATGGTGTAAATAGGTAAATGGGCTATATGAAATGGCTATTTCACTTTGTTTTTGCAACTTGGTCATATTGGTCTAGAGAAACGCACCTTGTCAGGAATCCATAGTATGCATGATAATTTCCGGAGTTGGACCGTGGACTTGTGCATTCCACGGTCCGACTCCGGAAATTATCATGCATACTATGGATTCCTGACAAGGTGCGTTTATCTATGTCTTCCTGTCAATATGACCAAATTGCGAAAACAGGATTAAACAACTTCAAACAACGAAAGAAGACAGCGACCATACAAAAGACCCCACCATCCTGGCCTTCATATCTCCGAAAAAAAGGTGTCGAGAGAAAGAGATGTAGTATACTAGAAGCTAGGACAAAAAATAAGAGTGAGGATTGATGCTAAAAGGGTTGAAAAGAAAATTGGTCAAAGGATTGCTTCAATTTGACACTTTGATAAGTTACAACTCTGTGCTAACCATGGCGCCTCTCACTGGCAATGCCAGAGAAACGTCAAGGAATGTACAAATTCAATTGTTTCCTGCTGGAAATCGCGAATATTATAGCAGAGGATACGGGACTAGGTACACTCCACAAGTTTTCCCTGACGCTTCGAAAAAGTTGCGAAAACGAGGTTGGACCAACACTATGAAGCTAAAAGAGAATGTGACCAAACAGAAGGCCACACCATCTTGGTCTTCATATCTACGATTGAAAATTTATGTTCTGAACATTACTCTTACTTATAAAAGAGGTCAGAATGAGTAGGAGTAATTATGAACTAAAGTGTAATGGAAGAGAGATAACAAGCTTTGGAAGAACAATTACATGTAGCATCAAAATCAAGTTGTAAATAAGTGAGTATAAGTGTATAGTAATAAGCTTACTTTCAGAGACAGATATAGACTCAGATCCAGTATTAAGTGAATGGCCCGGCTCAATCACTGGGTGCCAACGTCTCACAGAGCCGGATGAATTATTAAGAGAAGCCCCATCATCATCTTCTTCCTCATCGCTATTATTAGTGCTACTATTAGTGCTAACATTGTCATCACTGTCTACGCTGCTCCCATCCTCTTCTGCATCGTTATCCTCTTCACCTCCAGAATCCTGGTTTGTGGAGTCGGTAGAGAAGCTCTCCTTGCTTTGAATAGATCGGTCATGATAGCCAGTCTCAATATCAGAAGTTGCTGCCTTGTCGAAAGTAGTTGCAACAGCAGCAACAGTAGTCTCAGCAGCAGTAGGTAGTGCGTTAGCAGCTGTGGTAACGAGAGAGTTTGGACCGGAAAGCCATTTTGAAATCCGAGAAGTCCGAGGAGCATGCGTTAAGCTATCCTTGCTCTTATCTCTGAGTATGTCCGATATCCCTCTATCCTCCAATTCCGCTTCCGCTTGCTCATGCATCTCTATTCTTCCAAACATACCCATACTTTGCTTTTTCTCTTCGTCATACTTTTGTCTTATGTTTAATTGAGTTACTGCAATTTTTTCTGTGTCCTTGGCTGTCCCAGCCAAATTAGCTTGACCACTCATCACGCCGACGATATTAGAGGGCTCTGGGACAGCTGTGGTAGTTGTTACGATTGGATTGGCCTCTAGGGAGGAGAGGTGATGATCATGATATGCCAGCCAGCGAAGAGGGGCGGCCAGTAAGCCAGCGAGGACAAGACAAAGACCGGCGAAAACGAAAGGAGGAGAAACAAGGCCCAAGTCAAACGAATGGACTACTGAGGAAGAAGAGCCAGCAACCAAATTGTAAAGAGAGGCTGAGTAACAAGCTGATGTGGATTCCGATTGTGGACAGTTATGTACGTAGTTTCGCACACGGGAATCCATGAGATGACCTATAATGCAGAATGTTGGGAGATAGAAAGTCAAATGGCAGGCTTTAAGAAGGTAATAGGGAAGTATTTATTATCTTAAGTAGCAAAGGTAATATGGAAGAGGATTATCGCAAATATTCATCTGAACAAATGCCAAAGGGAATACAGCTCCCAGAGAACAGTAAAAGAAATTGTGACTGAACTTTAATAAGCTCATTAGGCCCATGGAGTGAATTTATATATTTAAAAAAAAAAAATATATATATATATATATATCAGCATGTGGCCAATCTAGTTGGGATTAATTAATTATTGGATTATGTTCCATCTAAGAATTATACCAAGAAAAGTACAATAAAATATATCATATGAAAATTCCTTTACAGTTTGTATGAAGAAAACTAATGTAATTAACATAAAAGATTAACCATAAGATAGTTTAAATATTTAATCTAATTCTCTTCGTATGTATAAATACCAAGCTAAAGCCAAGTATAAGATGGACATTAAACCCTATCTTAATGCAGTCATTTTGTCCTCAAGGCGATAATCTTATAAGTATTTTAACCAATTGGATTATAGGAAATAGCCAGAACGCCCTAATCACAAATTGACACGAAAATGGATTGCTCATGGAATAAAATCATCAACTGTAAATTTTAAGAGAGTTGAATATTCGTTTGCGGCGTTCTAGAATGGAATATTTAATGTTAAAAAACAAAATGTAGGGCTAGAGGGAATCAGATAAGAGATAGCAATAGTCACTAAATTATATATTCCTTAAGCCAAAACGAGGAAAATTAAAATAAGGTAAAAATTAATTCTAGAAAATGGTTCTCAATGCTCTATCTATAAGCATCGACTCGGATTACTAAAGCATAAAGGCTGTTTGAAACTTTAGGGTTGAATAAGGATATACCCGCTATTAGAGGCCCAAGGAAGGCTGCCACACCCTGGACAATTAGCAGAAAGCCGAAGGCATTGGTCAACTTGTCCAGTCCAAGGAGTTCGACAACCAGGATGCTCTTCAAAGAGACGAAAGCAGCTAGAGATAGGCGAGGAATGTAATAAGACAGGAAAGCATATAAAATTTAACACAAAATAGTATTAAAAAATGAAAGGGTATAAATGCCAAGAGAAAACAGCCTCAAATGAACATCGAACTAAGGCAATAGGATTCTTTTTTACTTATGAAGAAAAGTTGGGTTTCGAGGAATCTCTTGTTTCACTGATTGAATCAAATATTTTCATCATCTTGACTGGATATTGATGTGGCAGCAAGCTTAGTCACTGCTAGTATAGAGTACCACACCCGGAGAAGAGAAGCTAGGTCCATTTACAAGCCCAGCAAATAAGGAATACCGATACACAAACTGGATAAGAAAAAATTAAAAAAACTACAGATAATTCAATGAAAGGAAAATGAGTTACAACATTGTTATAGACTTTTGGACGCATATACAGAATGTGCACGTAATTCTCATCAATCATTTGACACGCTAGAGTACAAACCAGACTTCGGAATAGTCAAGCCTCCTCCTCTTACCCAGTGGCCCGTCTTATTTTATCTCA